AAATACACTTAAGTCAAGATTTACAAAAATTAGAAGAAACTAAAATACTGTCTTCAACGTAATACATTATCACTCGCAAGTATTTTCCCGCCTATTTTCTCAAAAAGTTCTTCGCTCCAATACCCAACTTGGTCGAAAAAATTTATCGTATTTTTCAATAAAGGGACAAAAGAGTAACTATGCAAACACTACACAAGAACGTTAATGTCTATCACCGTTACGATTCCATTTTACATAATTTCTCATACATCGCGACATTTCGAGACGAAAATAACACATACATTTTTCCCTCAACGTTAGATCTCTTTCTCTTCCGACCATCGAACCGGCGATCGCCATAAACGAGTCTGGACGTTTTACGGCTGTTTCAAGATTTCTGGAATGCGATCCAATTTACGATAACGATCCTTACCCCGGTACACGTTCCAACGCACCAAGGCCCCTGAAGAGTGAAGACAACTGCAGAGAACGTTCATATGCCATCCACGAGATCCCGAGACTGACAGCTCTCGGGGATGATTGGAGATGCTCGACGATTCACCGTGCGGTTTACATGCCTCCTTTACGATCATTCCGCTTCCAATGACTTCTGTGTTCGCCTTCAGCTCCGCTCCAATATATTCGTTCGATCCGTTCCCGCTAAAACCGATGAAATTAATCGAACGAAATGACCCTTAAGCGTTCCCATGACCAGATAAGGAAACCACATTTCCAAGCTCCCCTGTGTCCTGTACCATTTCAACTCGTAAATCAATAAAAATGATACGATCTCGGATCAACGAACAGTTTCCACCGTTCTCGATTTGTTATTTTCGAAAATAACACACAGAAGAAACGAGATAACAGTGAACTTCTGCGCTCTTTTTCTCTTGATTTACCGCGTGCAACACACCTAACAGTTAACGACGATAATTCGAAAACCACAAGGGTATTACGAAGCCGCCTCGATTCAAAAGGACCAGAGTTATTTAAAGAAGTACCAGTTCAATTTCACGCTGGGCAAAAACTTAAACGAACGACTGCCCTTTCCTCGTGATAAATTACGAAATTTGTAGTTACATTGGTCCGTCCGAAGGATCGATACGTTCCGTTTGTAAAAGATCGCGAGGTAAGCGGATTCAATTAATGCACGAATGTGTCGCGATCGTTTCGGTCCTTTTGCAGTGAAAGGACAATACCGTTAGCGGGCTCGCGTGATTACGCCTAAAATTATGCAAACCAGTCGAACGTCGAGCCACCTTTTACGAGGGGATCTCGTAACGGAATCGAATTTTACCGATTCGACCGGCGTGGTTCCTGTTTCGATGAGAATTTGCACCGGCTGGAGGGAAACGCCAGTTTAATTGCAAATAACACACGACTTCTGTAATTATTACAGGCTTCACGTTTCAGGTATCGACATGTTTCATTCAACTTTCAGTAATAAGAAGCGTTACTTTACTTATAAAAAAAAAAGAAGTCTTCCTCGAAGGACGGAGAAGAAAAGTTTTGGCATCGCGTTGTAGAAAGTCGGACACCGCAGGCGAGTGCAATTACAATTTAAAGTAGCTGAATAATAGAGATACTAGCTTAAAAAAAAAAGAGCCGAGTGAAAGTTTCATGATCACAAACATGGAGGGTACTCGATGTCCACGAAGATCACATTATAATAGACGCAAATCTCTCCTTCTAAAGAAACGAAGGATCAGAAAGTGTGTTTATCCGAGTAGGAAATCTCGAACCGCAAATTGCAAGTGCGTTAATGTATCTTCCTATAAATGTAATTTAATCTTCGATGATTCCCCATTTCCACTTCAAATTTTCACGTAAAGTATCCACTTACGTGTTTCACTTATGTCAACGGTAAACATGAAGATTTTTCAAGCTGGATCACATTATACGCCACTCGAAATACCAATCTTATCCGTCACTTCGTTATCAGCCAATTCTTCTTTTAATTCTTAAGTGTTTTCGATGAAACTCGAGGATCAAGATGTCGCGTGCAGTTTCTTAGGACTGCGGCTGCTTTGGCAAAAGTATTGAAAGCAGGCTAATTAAGCGAGGAACAAGAGAACACGTGAACGATATCGCGAGGACAATTGGTTCGTACGTTTTCGCAATTAAAAGGACGCGAGGGCAGGAGTTTAATTGAGACCCGCGCCAATTATTCGCGCATTCCTCGCGTGGAAACTGGGAACGTTTTATCGAGACACTTTCGACTATTTATCTCCGTGGATAAAGGCACGGATAAATTTGTCGAACGATAGAATTCTACTTTGGAATCGTGCGACGTTCAATTAAATTTTACTATCACCGCTAATTAAATAATTTTCTCCGACGTTCCTCGTATCGTTTCTGTTAATTTGAAAATGGTTTTATTGTTTAATTAAAGGTACGTTTAAATCGAGGGAATTATTTGAATCGTAAAGTAAAGATGGAAAAAATTAATTGAAGCGTTATCTTGGTAAACGTGTGAGTGCAAAAATGTTTCAATAGACATTCCAGGTAAATTGCGTTATTTGTCCGCGTCTTCCAGGTGTGCAGCAGTACTCACGTTCATTTTCTAAATAGTTCCACTAATTCTGTGTCTTCCGTGATATCCTCTTGAACCTTCGAGGACCTGGTATCGTTTCGGAGGCTTCGAAACCTCTGCCTTTATCGCTTCTTCACGTGTTCGCGAATAAATCCGCTTGTCTGGCACGAACATGATTCGATTAATCAGGAAGAAGACGTAAAATCGCGAGCAAATAATTTCTCACGTCCCTTGCGAAACTTCAAAACAGCTCTTTCGCTCGTTAAGCTAATTAATATACGCTAACGTGCACTTGTGAAACAACATTTTAAAGAATATAGTAGAAAAAAACATATTTTCAATCGTGAATTAGAAGATTTTAAGGATAAACGAAGATCGGCGAAAATTTCCCAACTTAAAGTGAAACATTACTTCTAAAAATAAACACGATGCGAAATGTTGCGAAACTCCGACGAAAACAAAGAACAAAAAACCTCTGATATTTACGACAACGTTTACTGACAAAAAAAACTTCTTACAGTAGTTGAGTTTACATACAATAATCCTTGCATTTTTTTGGGGGATAGAAGGGGGGCGGGAGACGAAAAAAAAATAGGAAAAATATGTGTGTCTGTGTGTGTGTGTATATACGCTCGAATCGCAAAAACTACGCAGAGCAATGTCGCGTTGAACGTCGAGTATCATCGACCAGCGTCGCTTCCTTTCGATAATACGGTAGCGAGGTCGGTTATCTTCGCAGAGACGAGAATCGACGTTCGGTTTACATACAAAAAAAAAAAAAAAAGACTTAATAAAATAATCAACCGACAATGGTGGGGCTTTAATCGATTCTTTAAGGGGAGCTATCGTGACACATACATATACATTTACACACATATATATGTATATATATGTATATATAAAAAAAAGAAAAAAAAATGTACGCAGATATCACAATCCGGAAAAATAAAATTTACGCGCGATTTCCGTGGTTAAATCGAGAGGACCAATCGCCACCCCAGACGCATCGAGAGAGACTAGAATGATTAAGAAATATTATAATCGACGATTGAAATCTTATAAACGTACATGCTTAATAACGATCCATTAATGATGATACGGATAATAACAAATAGAATAATTATTATAATAAGAATTCTCGATACAGTTACGATGAGAGATGATGAAGAAGAATCGCGTTTGTTTATTAAAAATTTTTCTCTTTTGATTCACACGATGTGTTCATAGTAAATGCGACTTTATGTACAATGCTTCGAAGTGAGAAATCGTCGTCGTATATTTACGTGTACACCTATACGTGCGACAAACACAAAACAATTTTCTGCTGATCTGCAATCTTTTTTGCATTGTCACGCGATTGATACTCGCGATGGATTGCGTAATTGATCGTTTACGTATCGGTGTCTTTTTTTGTGCCAAGTGTGTACTTTTTTGGACGTGAAACTTTTTTACATACGAACGAAGTCAGAAGTGACAAACGTGAAATTTACATACGTTTTCGTATGAATCTGTCGATTGAAAGACACCGATACGAAACGAACTTCTTCGACGATCGATGCGAACTAATTGAAAAAAAAAAAAAAAAAAAAAAAGAAACACTAGATACATAATAATACTAAATGAAATACTTAGACATTTTTAGACGTTCCTTCCGCGTTCGAAAACACGAAGAATCAGTAAAGAACGCCTGTTATCCTTAAACTGTACAAACTGCACGATACATCACGCTCGTATTTGCATTGTTAGATCATTCTTTTCGCGATTTCGCCTTCGTTTCGACGTCAAAACTAATCACGTATACCATTCATCACGCGTCTCGTTCTTCCACCCTTTTCTTCCACTGTATTCTTCAACCTTTCGCGAGTCTCATACTCGGCTGATTAAATATTAGCACTTTTTTGCGAATCCTGTAAGCACCTACTCGAGCAAAATTCATCCGAAAAACAAGACCGTGACAGAACCAAACTCGCAGTGTCGAAAACAAAAAACCAGCTTCTAGATTCTGTATACGTTCGAGAAATGATTATCTCTTACCAAAAAAAAAAAAACAACAAATTTGTACATTTTACCTACACAGAATTAATCTTGAAACCTTTGCAACGATACAATATGAACGGATTACGATTGCCAAAGCTTTCAAACGTACAATTCACCCCGGCAGCTCTCGGAGCTTTCCACCGATCTATAAATTACACGAGGAACTGCTCGAGCGTTCCTCGCGCGTATCCATTTCCACGCCGGCCGAGGAAAAATCAGCGAAAGAAACCAGTCTATTCGCATAATCCTCTCCGCAAAACCGCACACAACACGCGTTACTTCGTACAAAGAGAGACATCACGCTACTCACACTCGCGCGTTCCACCGATCATCGATCAGCTCCCATGAGTGAATCGGTCGGAGGAGCCAGGCCAGGTCTCGTCGGACGATTCGCAATCAACCACCGCATTCTCCGTGTTAACTTCGTTTCACACAGTCGGCGAAGAAAAGAAAAGAAAAGAAAAGTTTGTCTCGTTGGACAGTCGATCGTTCCTCTCGCTGGACACCGAAGAGCGATCTCGTTGAAATTATAAATCATCATCCGTCTCGGTACGTTCGATCGTGCTCGTTAGGTCGAAGATGGGAGGGAGGAGCTCGTAAACGATTCAGAGAAACGATTCCCAAAAATGGATCTCCTTTGATCGGCGTTCAATCGGTGCACTCGGAGGCGAAACTCTCGAGATCGACGTAATGCCCGTTCATGTTGTCCTCGAGCAGCTGAGCAAGATCCCTCCTGAGCGTCTGAAATTCCGGCCTGCGGTCTGGATCGGCGTGCCAACATCGGGATATCACCCTGAACAGCTCGCTTCGACAGTGCGAAGGCCTCTCCAGTCGATAACCGTTCTGCACGTTACGCATCACTTCCCGTGCCGTCATGTCCGGGTACGGTGTCGAACCTGTTCGCAAGAAAATTTGTCCACGTGTCAGTCGATGGAGTTCAAGACGACGGGATGGCGAGAAGCATTTCCTCTGTAGAGGGTGTCTCGTTTGTAAGGAATATATGCGTTATTTTCACTGGTATTGAGAGTGAGAAGAAATGACCGAACGGAGATATTTTTTGCCTTTGGATGGCGGATGCCGGGTCACCCGTGACCCAGCTTTTAGAAGTCTCTTGTTTCAACCAAAATTCTCCTCTCCTTATATCATCAACATTTTTCTTTTACACGATATAATGCCTAGTAAAACGAAAAAGATTGTCCGAGGGTTAAAGTCACTTCGACGTTATTACGTCGCAGGTCGTTGAACTCGTATCTTTTCTGTCAACTACAAAAATTTCGATGACCTCGAGGAAAACAGAGATTCACTCACTCTCCTATCAATGCAAAGTTACCGTCATATTCTAATTATCAAACTTCCTTTTTTTCTGAGAATTCTTATGCTTCCTGGAATACATACTAATTTCGAACTTTTGAAATGTGAATTCCAAAGTGCCTAAATTTCTTTGAATGAAGGATTAAAGGATATTTTATCCAGTGAGGAATTAATTACCTAGAGTGACGATCTCCCACATCAAGATCCCAAAGCTCCATACATCCGTCTTTGTTGTGAACAGCGAATACAACAACGACTCAGGCGCCATCCACCTGATCGGCAGAGCATTTCTCCCGTGTCTGGTCTCGATCACCTCCCCGTCTTCGTTCGCGAATCTGGACATGCCGAAGTCGGCGATCTTGCACAGCTTGTTGTGGTCCACCAGCACGTTCCTCGCGGCGAGATCGCGGTGGATGATCTGCAAAATCGAACAGAACACACACACACAAACAGTCTCGATCAGTGCTTCGCCATAAGACGTGACCACAGGTGGACGTCCTGTTACGCAACCATCACCGCACAGTATCGTGTGACAGGACGAAATCGAATCCTCGGAACCGGTGAGACAGGCGCGAAGAAAAATCGTCGATCTATCGATCCCCGTCAACGACGGAGCAGAATCTGTTGAACGAATTTAACGACGCGCGAATTCCGCGTTACCCGGCTTCGTAACACGGTGGGCAAGGGTTATTGCTTATTATTTATTACACGCGTGATTTATCGTCCGGGTTCGTCGTACTGTTACCCGCCGCGGAAGCTCACCTTTGATTTATTTTACGTTCGCGTGTGGCCCGTGGTAAAGAGAGTCTCCCGCCAGACGTGAGTACGCTCCGATGGAAATTGCTCGGCGCACCGATAAACACGTGTGAAATTTAATTGTCGCTCGGCATAGACGCGTCGATCGAAATCAACGATGATGTTTGAGCAACGTTTCCAACACTCGATTAACGACCGAACGGTACTCGAACGGTGCACAGGACTTCCGTGCTAGGTGGTCGTTGACTGAGGTCTGTCTGGTTGGATAGAGGGAATCGCGTGAACGTTAATTGACGGGTTAAGAGTGAACGTTTCATAGCGCGGGCTAATTCAAATTTAGTTTTACGTCAAATGAAAACAGATCAAGCATCGAAGTATTTAATTTCCATTATTTTTAACGATCTTTTGCCATGTTTCACCATCGCGATAGAAACTCGGTGGCTTTGCGAATCCAGGCGGAAAGAATTTATTTCTACACTTAATGTACCAAAAAAAGAAAAAATACCGCGTTTTATTTAACCCTTCGAGGACAAGCGGACCTACCATATGTTGTATTACCGTTGTTATTGTTCATTAATTATTTACTGAAAATGTGTGTTACGCTTGTGAATCGTAGATTTCGTAAAATGAAACTGAAAGTGTATCCTCGAAGGACTAACAGAGCGAAATGGTAAACAACGATTCGCGAATCTTTGATCCGATCACTGATTCTAAGAATCGCTGAAAAAATGATTACAAATATTCTACACATTTCATCAATCAAAACGTTCTTCCTTCTGCGTCATCTTCTCAATTTTAAGACTAAAAAAATCGTCGTCATAACACTTCCTCGCCAAACAAACGCGACAAAAACACGCGTCCTATCCTTCGCCCTGAAGAGCGATCCTGTTTCCTCATTGGCCGGTCTTAATTAAAAATTCAGCGCGGAACGAAAGTGATTTATCGCACTTTCTACCCGGTATCGGTTCTCAAACTGTAAACAGAGTGCCTGTCGACGCAAAAGAAAAAATACGAATTCACCGGTCGGAAAATCCAACTGGTTTCTCGTTCGACCCGCGGTCATCGATGCTAATGAACTTACGCGGCTCAATGTCAAGGCGAGCTGTACACGCATACATCCTCGCCGTTTCTTTAATGACTCCATCTTCTAGATTTATAGCGACCACCGGCGGAAAACTCGAACGCGAGAGTCCCCATTTGTCCCGCGGACGTGGCCGCGTTTTTGCCAGCTAACACGACGTTTCGGTGCCGATGAAAAATGCATTTCCGCGTTACAAAGGACGTGAAATCGTCTGTGTTGCAAGGAAAAACGAAGTTGACGGTTCTTCGTTCGAATTAACTCGACTTCCTCCGACAAATATTTTCAAGCAACGTCGCCGGGTTGACGAATAAACTGAAAACGTTGCAGACAGCTTTATTGCTCGTGCATTGTTATCTTTATTATGCCGAGAAAAAGGAAATTTATTTTTGCTGTTATCTCCTCTGCAACGATAAGGATTCCTCCTTTGTTTCGACGAGTCGGCGGTGGAGAAGTTTTTCAAAATGTCACGCGTTGTATCGTAAACTCGACTCTGAATTAGTAAATAGTTACACGGTACAACGTTTCGATGGAGAAATAATGTTGAATAATTGATCGAATGCATCGGTATTAATTCGCAAGTAAAACAACACTGTGCAGAGTGTTCGTAACGATTTAAACCAATAATCCCCGCTGCTTCGACGCTTTTAAATCGGTTTTCATCTGGTTCGTGCATCAGCGGTCGCCTCGATTTTCAATTAAGCTCGCTATGTGTGCCGGCCTTGAGAAGAATTTCTACGAAGTCGTATATAATCTTTGATTGAAATCGACATCCTGACTGTTTGGTTGCTCTTAAGTCGTCCTTCCAGCGACCAGGCGCGCAGGATACTGATTCCAATCGAGGCTTCGTTCCCGCTGTTCGATGCCTCGAGCGTCCCGACCGCGCGCGCCGGTGTATCTCGCCTCGCGAATCATAACCGGTCGACGATGATATTTAACTATTTTCCATTTTTCACCTCCGATCTAATTGACCGTACCTCGGCTACCGTGCCGTCATCGATATTCAATAAAAGAAAAAGAAAAGGAAGGAACAGCGGCCCTGTGTTGTTTACGAAAGGATTCACGCAGGTGAATCTCTTCTCTTTGTCCTCGAGAAATACAATTATTTAATGGTAGGTATAAAAAGATGATTTGTATTTTAAGCTCGGGAACGTGTATCGTTCGTGTTCGAATTATAGATGAGAGGATCATTTGTTATTCTAATTCGCTGCTGGAGGAAATTGTACTAGGAGAGGGTTAAGGGAAGATGACACGACAGAAGCGAGGGCCAGTCGGAAGAATTATGGAAATGAAGGAGATATGTATCGACTGCTTAGAATACTTATGATTCCTATGTAAATTACAATATGCGCATGAATCTTGGGGTCTAAGGTGTTCAATTAGGATACTAACAATCCTCAGAAATGGCAGTGGTGATTTTTCAATTATTAGTGATTTTCAAAAAAATTAATCGAGCGACATCTGCTTCAAGTAGAATTCTATCGAAAGTATTATTGAGCCTTTAAAGTCACCGCTTTTGCAGCGTGGAGCACATACATCAACTCTGTAATTAGGTATTAATATTCTTTAGAACTTCAAAGCTGTAAATATGATCTTTTTACTATTTCACGAAGGAACTCTAAATCAGCAATGATTCTTCCACGATTCCAGGGACCACAATAGCGTATTACAATAGTAAATTAATTTTTCTAACAGCACATTGAATTTCGACGATGCCACTACAGCACTTAGAAAAGAGTCGAACCTTCAGGCACGTTTCTCGTAATCGGTCGATCGAGAAAGAACCTTGATGTTCTCCAGGCCGGAATGCACACTACCGTTTTCCTTCCGATGAGTAATTACTGTCCACTAACTTCAGAAAATTAGCTTTCCCGCGGTGATTCCTCGAAGGCGATTACGCCGGCAATTCGACATTCGTAGAAAATAATTACAACGGTTTATTCGGTATTTGTCCTTGCGAAAACGTCGTACAATTCCTCTAATCTATCCTCCGCCATCGCTATCTACTCCCTTCGATCAATTTTCTTTGTTCACGCTGTACCACTACAAATCTCATCTTACCGAACACTTGGCAAAAGTTGAATTTATAAAATTTCTACGATGAAATTTGGACACGAACTCCCTCGTGCTGTATACAACTCGAGGAGATAACTGTAGGCGAACGGGAATTCACGATGTTGACTCGAACAATTTTTTACTATTGCGAAAAAAGGCTTCCATTAAGCGTCGTCGAATGCGTAAAAATGTTTCTTTCACGTGTTCCAGGCGAACAGTGCTCCAGTGACTGGTTGAAAAGTTACAACTGCAATATTTAAACTGCAATATCAGCTTCGAATCGCACATTCTTCGCCGCGACGTTTCGAAAATCGACGACCAAGAAACTCTCCCGGTGTCTCGTTATCTTCCGAACCTTTTCCCTCGTTTCTGAACGCGTTCAGAAGAATTTTGTCCACGAGAGCCTGCTAGGTTACCAACGATTTGTAGTCATGAGACCATTTCTACGCTCGAACTTCGAAGTATCTGAACCTCCTTCGATGATATTTTAAGAACAATTTTACGTAAATTCGCTAAAATTGTCGATAAAAAAATTCTGCAATCTTCGCCGCTGTAATTAACAAATTGTAGAGTCGTTAAGTTTAACGTACAGTCTGGAACAAAAGTCCCCAACCCTCTGAGTCCAGTAATTAACTACAGTGAAACAGAAGGAAATGAAAGGGAAAGCAGGATACCTTCGTGTCTTATCAAACCTACTAAGTGACCTGAAATATCCAAAACCTTCAAAATTAAAAAGGAATATATTCAAATTTTTGAGAACTTTTGTTACAAGCTGTATTTCAACGTTGAACGAATTAACACAATGGCCAAGAATCGATCCAACATCGGGTAAAAACGAGGGAATATTAAGCTACATGCTAATTTTCTATGAAAAACCAGGGAACGCTATTCTTCACGTGTTCCTGTTAATAGAAATTTATCAAGGTTCACGGGGTAGTGGATTGCCCAATTCGTGGACCTGATTTTTGCCGACTGACACAGATCGAGAGGACGAAATGGCCGCCCAGCCCGGTACACTTTACGGCGCTAAGAAAATATTTGAGGTACAAATACCGTTGTCAAGCTGTTTGTCATACCGTCGGTTTTTTCGCTCTCGACCTTCAGCAGTGACGTATAGGCAACCTCGAAGGACGAGGGATTCGATGGATTTTTATCACGGGAATTTCTTTTGACACGTAGGTGCCATTTGTGAAACGCGTTGGGCATTGCAACGGTGAAATTTGTCGTGAGATGGACTCCGGGTGCGAGGACTGTGATTTATGGCCGTATTGTGCAGCTTCTCTGATTCGAGATGCGGGACAGAAGCTCGGAGAAGGGAATATCAGTGGAAAATTTAGGATAATATGAATAATACGGAAAAATAAAAAATTCTCATTAATGTTAATTTCAGATTTCGGGAGTTTGCTTAATTCTGAAGTTTCGAAGAGAAATAAAAATAGGAAAGTAAGAGATGTTCGATGACAAATTTTTACTAATATGAATTTCAGAATTTGAGATTTTCAAGAATAAGAG